AGCGGCGCGGAAGGGTCTCCGGGCCCCACCCGGCCGGACTCCCAGCCCCCGTGTCCCCCGGGTCCTCCTGAGCCCCCGTCCCCAGCGTTCAGGATGGTCCAGGAGGGTGAGATGCGGAGGGTACACCGGCGGGTGAGGCCGACCTGGGGGCTTCGAGAAGTTCCGTCGGTACCTGCAACCGGACAACCAAGGGGTCCGGGCTGCCTGTCCCCGGAGCTGCCTGTCATTCCGGAAAGATTGACAGCCTCCTGGCGGAAACAGTCCAGTCCCGGAGGCACCCAGACCCCGTCCCTGTTGCCTGTGATCTGGTCCCTCCGTGGGCGCCCTCTGTGAGCCTCCCCCGCCCCTTCCTCACCCCCACTCCACTCACATATGATTCCATCCTGTCTGCTTAATTCCTGTTAAAGCAGTGGTTCTCAACCTTCCTCATGCCGCGACCCTTTAATACAGTTCCTCATGTTGTGCTGACCCCCAACCATACAATTATTTTCGTTGCTACTTCGTAACTGTAATGTCGCTACTGTTCTGAATCGTCATGTAAATATCTGATATGCAGGCTGGATTTTCAGTTACACAATCAACATAATTAAAGCATAGTGATTAATCAAAGAAACAATATGTAATTATACATGTGTTTTCCGATGGTCTTAGGTGACCCCTGTGAAAGGGTCTCTCGACCCCCAAAGGGGTCCAGACCCACAGGTTGAGAACCGCTGTAAAGGGTCAGATCTGTAACCTGCAATGGTTATTCTGTGCCTACTCCCCCAGGCCTGTCATTCCTACTTCCCCAGTGATCTTTGTCCTTCTATCCAATGCAAGCGGCTGCCTTATGGAGGGGTGCAGAGTAGATTTTCGTGGACGGCCTGCTGCTCTCCCGTGCTGCCCGCAGGATTGGAATAAAGGCTCACATGGGATTCAACCCTGTCTCTGCTGAATTGGTTGAAGTAGTGACAGGCAGCCCGGACCCATTGGTTGTCGGGGTACACCTCCACATACCTGTAGCTCAAAGGTGATGTAATCAACCTGGCTTCTGTTGTCATCGTCTGGATCAGTCCAGGTGAGGAGGGGAGTGATTCCCAGGACATGACAGGTGTCACGTGCAGATCTAACATGTCCGTGAAGCAGGGCAGCTTCCCCTGAGTGGCCAGCAGACACTCCGTGTGTCCCCTTGGCCGGAGCAAGTCAGGTCTCAGCCACCACACACTTAAGGCCCCTATGGCTTCTCCCTATGGAGGAAATTCCTGTTGAAGGGTTAGATCTGTCGCAAGGACTTTCCCTCCCAAAGGCCCTGTACAGACAAGGGGGTCTGCGTGAGTGGGCGTCGCAGCCTGAATCAGAAGAGTCGTGCCCCCCCACCCACTTTTTTTTAATTGATTTTTTACAGAGAGGAAGGGAGAGGGATAGAGAGTTAGAAACATCAATGAGAGAGAAACATCGATCAGCTGCCTCCTGCACACCCCCTACTGGGGATGTGCCCGCAACCAAGGTACATGCTCTTGACTGGAATTGAACCCGGGACCCTTCAGTCCAAAGGCTGAGGCTCTATCCACTGAGCCAAACCAGTTAGGGCCCCACCCACTTTTTGCAGCGTTTCCACGGGGCTGCCTCTGGTGCTGGTGGAGGCTGGGACTGAACCAGGAGCCTTCATATATGAGCCTTTATTCCAGTACAGCTAGCAGTATGGGAGAGCAGCAGGTCATCCACGAAAACCTACTCTGCCTCTCCCCATAAGCCAGCCGCCTATACTGGGTAGAAGGACAAAGACTGTGTGGGAAAGTAGGAATTGCAGGCCTGGGAAAGTGGGCAAGGTATAATTATGACAGGTCACAAGTCATGCGGTGGGGAGGTGGGGGGCGTGGCTGTCACAGAGCGTAGGCGCCTCCAGGCACCCCGGGTGCCCAAGGACCAGATTACAGGCAGTCGGGGCCGCATGTTGTAAAGAGAAGGTGCCTCCGAGACCACGTTGTTTCAGCCACGAGGTGGTCAATCTTTCCATAATGACAGGCAGTTCTCGGGGCAGGAAGATGGACTGAATTCCGGCGTGAGCTCCCATGTCCCAGGGCGTGCAACTCCCAGCCACGTTAGAATGTGCTTTCTCTAATCGGAACAGCACCATCACTGTTAACAGAGCATGACTCATATTTCTTTTTTCTTTTTTCTAGATATGTTACATTTTTTAATATATATTTTTAATTGATTTTTTACAGAGAGGAAGGGAGAGAGATAGAGCGTTAGAAACATCGATGAGAGAGAAACATCGATCAGCTGCCTCCTGCACATCTCCTCCTGGGGATGTGCCCACAACCCAGGTACATGCCCTTGACCGGAATCGAACCTGGGACCTTTCAGTCCGCAGGCCGACGCTCTAGCCACTGAGCCAAACCGGTTTCGGCAGGATTCATATTTCTTATCATTGTAGATGGTCCCCAGTATTCTGTGTCTGCCCCTAACACCGCTCCTGTGTCCCCCTGCATGAACGAATGAACGGCTTCAGCCAGGAGTGGGTCCCTGGTGCGCAGCCACATGGCTTTGAAAACCAGGCCACAGCCCCAGAGAGCCTGCCCAGGGACTACTGCACAGGACCGGGCATGCCAGAAGGAGGGCCTTCTGCAATGAGCTTGTCCGCAAATGGGATTCTTTCGGGCCTCAGTGCCGGGGACAGGAGTGCCAAACTACGGAGAGTCAGAGACACCAAGGCCCCAAATCCCCAGAGGACGACTTCCCATGTTTCAGGATGTGAGCTGCACAGGGAATGCACTAGTGTCACTGGAGAGGGGTCTGCCCCAGCACAGTCTGAACGTGCGGGTTCTTGACTTCGTGCAGGAAACTTCACAGTACGAGTCAAGTGATTTTGAGAGTTCATTTGTTAAAGACTAGAGGCCTGGTGCACAAAAATCTGTGCACTTGGGGGGGGGGAAGGAGAGGTCCCTCAGCCCAGCCTGCACCCTCACGCAGTCCGGGAGCCCTCGCAGGATGTCCGGGAGTCCCGAAGCAGGCCTAAGCCTGCAGTCGAACATCCTTAGCGCTGCCACAGAGGTGGGAGAGGTTCCCACCACCTCCAGTGAGCTGGCCAGCTGTCAGCCCGGCTTGTGGCTGAGCAATGCTCCCCCTGTGGGAGCGCACTGACCACCAGGGAGCAGCTCCTGCATTGAGCATCTGCCCCCTGGTGGTCAGTGCATGTCATAGTGACCGGTGGTTCCGCTGTTTGGTCGATTTGCATATTACCCCTTTATTGGATAGGATAGGATGGGAACAGTAAAAAAAAAGTGCTTAAGCTAAAGGAGGCAGGCCCCGCCGGTGTGGCTCAGTTGGGGGTCAACCCCATGAACCAGGAGATCATAGTTCAATTTGTCAGGACACTGGATTTCTGGCTCAAGCCCCAGTAGGGGGTGTGCAGGAGGCAGCCGATTGATGATTCTTTTTTTTTTTTTGATTGATGATTCTCATTATTGATTTTTCTATTTCCCTCTACCTTCCAAAGTCAATAAAAACATTAAACCCAGGCAGTGTAGTTCAGTGGTTGGGCGTCGACCTATGAACCAGGAGGTCACAGTTCAATTCCTGATCAGGGCACATGCCTGGTTTTGTGGGGTCTATCCCCAGTGGGGGGTGTGCAGGAGGCAGTTGATCAATGATTCTCTCTCATCACTGATGTTTCTATCTCTCCCTCTCCCATCTCTGAAATCAATAAAAATATATTTTAAAAAACATATTAAGAGAAAAAAAAGATAAAAGAGGCAAGATCACAGCAACAGGAGTGAGCCTGGCAGAGAGCTGCCTTGGCCCTTGGGGAAGTCACAGAGGCAGAAGTGCGCCCGCTGGGCTGTGTGGACGCAGGAAGCAAGTTACAGCGGCAGAAGGAGAGCCCTTCAGGGGTGTAGCCCGGACAAGCTGCCACTGCCTGCTTCTCCCCTGGTTGCAAGCCTTGTTGGCACCCTGAGAGCTTAGGAGAAAGAGAACAAGAGGGGTCCCTGAGGAAAAGAATTAGGGGAAGGTGTGGGCGTGTGTTGCAAGCCTTGTTGGCACCCTGAGAGCTTAGGAGAAGGAGAAGAAAGAGGGGCCCCTGAGGAAGGTGTGGGCATGCTCTAAGGAGAGCATGCTCTGGCTTCCTTTATCTTGAAGGTTTTTAAATTTGTTTTCTAAAGGTGGGAATTTTAGGGAAGAAGTGTGGGGAGGATCTTTTCTTTTTTGGGGTGCCCTGACCCAGAATCCAATCAGTGACCTTTGGGTGCACAGGACACAGTTCAACCAACTGAGGCACACCAGCCAGGGCAGGAGAGGGTCTTTCTGTTGTTTTTAACCCTCACCTGAGGATATTTTTTCCACTGATTTTCAGATGGTAGAAGGGAGGGAGAGGGAAAGAGAGAGAAAAATTGATGTGTAGATTAGTGTAGCCATCAAGCGGAATGAGAAGTTAAAAGAGGACGTTCTGCCAAGAACAGACGGGTACCTGCAAGCGGGCCACATCAGAACAAAGTCTTGCAAGCAAGATTTATTGTTCAGAGGCAGAATTTCCTTGAGGTGATAAATAGTTCATGAGGGCATGGAAAGTTCAAGGGAGGATACAAAGCTGCTGGTTGAGAGGGTCTTTGAACAATACTGGAAATTAATAGTTTAATGTATAACTTAGCTCAGATGATCTCATGAGCATGCCTGTTAGTCATTGTCACTTGCTGTACTCCATTGTTATTTGCTGTACTCCCCAAATAAAAGCCATGAGAGCTTTGGAGGTTTTGCTACTCGCCTGAGCGAGCAGTAGCCCGCCGCTTCTCTAAACTCAATCCTGCACGCCAAGCTTGCCTCAGCGTCACCGTTCACCTGCATACCACCTGCAATTCGTTTCCTCCTGTCTGTGCCCTAACTGGAGCGGTGATCCAACCTACAACCTTAGTAGGTGCCCTTGGAATCGAACCCTGGACCTTTTGCTGTGCAGGCTGACACTAACCACTGAGCTCGATCCCCAGTGGACGGTGTGCAGGAGGCAGTTGATCAATCCTGGCCAGGTTGGGCAGGTGAGGATTTTTTTTGGGGGGGGGGCATTTTATTTTATTTTTTAAATATATTTTTATTGATTTCAGAGAGGAAGGGAGCAGGAGAGATAGAAACATCAATGAGGAGAATCATTGATTGGCTGCCTCCTGCACGCCCCCTACTGGGGATTGAGCCCACAACCCGGGCATGTGCCCTAACCGGGGAATCTGGAACAGAACTTTGACCTCGTGGTTCATAGGTGGACGCTCAACCACGGATCCACATCAGGGTCTATTCTCTGGCTGTAAATTGCTCGCCTTGGTTAAGTGTCTCAGTTCCCCCACTTTCCAAGGAATTTTCCCAGTTTCGTACTAATCCGCCTCATTCAGAGCCTCCCAGCCCGGAGCCCGCCCAGGAGTGAGCCAGGGGAAAGCAGCCCGGAGCCCCCCACTCCGCTTCCTAGCATCCCACGCGGTGACGCTTGGCCGTTGCCATGGATACCTTGGGTGGATAGCACTCGGAACTACCTTTCCCAGAAGGCTCTGCGCGTAAGCCCCTCCCGCACTGGGCCAATGAGCGATGGCCGGGGCGGGACTTCCGGCCTCCGAGACTGTCACTGGGCTCCGGGC